ATATATATATAACAAACAAACCCAACAAAAGCAGACAATGACAACCCTACACACACACAAATATACAGGACAGACTCACTTGATCATGTGGGCAATCTCCCAGTTGGGCTGAGACTTGATGGGTCCCCGCAGGTCAACGCCGTCCTTGGTCACAACAGCCACTTGGTACTGAAAACAAAACAGAGAAAAGTGTTGGAATGAAATTCCCAGGGCAAGAAATCAAGATATGACAAACAAAAAATAGATTACATGTTTTGTTTTTTTTCAACTATAGATTCTATCTTGATCTCAATAATGGAATAGCGGATCAGGATCAAAATACCGGAAATACTGGATAAAAGCAGAAAAGTGGCATCCCTGCATTATCAGGAGGCTAGCCTGGGAAAGGTGAACAGTATTTCTTTGTGGAACATAGGCTACCCCAGATACAATATGAAAAAGAAAGGAGAAAAAAAAAATTGTAATTGTAAATGTAAAATTGTAATTGTAATTTGTTTGTAAAGTTACGTTTTACGGCCTCTGCCACCTATCAACACAGTCTTTTTCGTCTGTTAAGTTAATGCCCCCTCTCCTTGCCACAGCAGGCATCCATGTTCCCTCGTCTCTGCTTTTACGACATCTTCCACACAAATTAGACAATACAGGAAGTGGGTGGGCTGCTTCAAACCTCACCTGTCAGGGCCAATGAAGGCAAAGAGGAATACAACATCACAGCACTTAATAACTTGCTCTGCCCTCCTCCCCTAATCTGAATGTTGCGTCGCCCAGGCATCCCAAGAGGGGGGGAAGGAGGGATGGTGAGAGAGAGAGAGAGAGAGAGAGAGAGAGACAGACAGACAGACAGAGAAAAAAAGAGGTGGAGGGGGAGAGGGACAGAGAGAAAGAGACAGGGTAAAAGGATGAAAATTTCTGTTGCCTCCGAAACACTGTTTTTTTCCCCCCAACAAGTCCCCGAAGGACCACCATCCCCTCAATACTACCACCGCTACACCACTGACCTTGTTGAGGGAGCGAGCGTCTCTGTAGTAGAGCAGCTTCATGCAGCGGTCAATGAGTGCAAGAGCCTCCTCCTGGTTCATGTCTGGCTTCTTCTCCATCGTCTCGCGGATGATTGGCTGAAAAACATGCGCAAAAGATCGGCACACGATTGTCATCCTCCAGAATAAACAACCAGTATCTTTCTTATCCTTCTTCAGAAAAATCTTGGTCTGGGCTGAACACAACTTTGTGCATCCGACGACCTTACACAGCACGATCGATCCAGCCCAAACACAAAAATACACACGAGAACACAATAAACTGACACCCCCCCCCTAAAAAAAAACCCCAACCAAACTCCAAACCAATATAAGCATATTGATTGAAATATAATCTGTTAATTTTAGTTTTAATTATAAAAGTTTTACAGCACTTAAAACACAAATAGATCATACAAGTGCCAAATATTAAAGCTGTTACTAGTTAGTAATATTAATATACAAAGAAAAGAAGGAGAAGAGATAAGGACCATAGGCCCTAGATGTTTGATAAGAAAGAAGGAGCAAACTATACCAAAGCATCAGCCAACAACCACAGATAAAAGTAGGAAAAGCAAGAAAACAACATATTGGAAAAAAAAATAGGCAAACAATCCAACAAGCTTAACTTCCACAACACAGAGCAGGATGTAGCCTACTAGTTCCACGCTTGTCGAATTTTTTCAAAATTCAGTCATAGACACCTAGCATTCTACAGGGATGCCAAATAATTTTTGAAAAGAAAACCTGAAAATGAGCGGAGCATCACATCTCACCTAAACCGAACCTTGTAAAGCTTTTAAATGAGCAAACAAAAACATATTCTCTCTTACCTCTCGCGGATGAAAAAAACCCGGACATTTGGCATCCCTCATTATAACATCAGACTGTGTAACAGCAATGAACAAATTTAAATAAAGTGGTACTGGTTTTGGTGCAGGGTATGTGATAAGGCTCTAAAAATTCTGGACAGCCGAATCCAGGACAGTCCTGGGAAGTTCAGTACGGCTGGCAAGCTTGTAGTACTCTTTTTTTTTTTTATAGTAGAGGGTTTTACAGCGCTCGCAACTGCATAAGGTCATATGAGCGCCAAGGGGTGGGTGTCAACAAAGAAGTCTTTACAGGGAATCAGACTTACTCTGCTCACCTCTCTAGCTTCAACAGCACAAAGTCTGCTTCAACTATCAAGGCACCCCGGAAATAGCGGGTCACAAGAGAGTGACAAACATACAAAAGAAGTAGAGAAAAATGACAATAGTAAGGATAAGGAAAGAAAAAGCAGCAGTTCCCTGTTGTAGATCAGGCAGTTATGAGCGTGACATGATGAATCAGCCCATTTATAATTGTACGGTGCATGAACAAGAAATGTCCCCCCCTTTGGGAATGGCCTGAAGACACTACAAACTCACCAATGCCATGTAAGCTCCAAAGCCACAGGCCAGGGATGGGGCCTCGTACGCCATGCCGATCTTGTCTACATAGCCCAGGAATCTGTGCAGAGGGGGGAGGGGGTGGGGGGCAGAAAGTGGAATTGAAAGCAGACAACAGAACATTGTTAGAGATCAGGAAAGGATGTGAAAGGAGACAATTTTAGAGAAGAACAATTTTTGGTCGCTACCCGGAATTGAACCCGGGACATTTGAATGAGAGGCCAACACCTTAACCTCTAGGCCACGAGAGCCCCCTCAGTACAGTTGAGCACAGATAACTCAAACAAGACGGGAATAGACAAATGTGTTTGACACATCCATTATTCGGGTTAACCGATAAAAAAAATAATTAAAGAGATATCAGTTGGGAAATAGCAAATAGTACAAGCTATCCCTGTGATTTTCAATTTTCCGTCTTTTATTCATGTTATCTGTGCCCAATTGTTGTATGCAAGAATGAGAAAAAATTACACAGCAATGGAGTTAATTCATATTCAGCAGAGTCCACTTAAACGGAACATGGTATATCCGAAAATAACAAAAAACGGAAAGAAAATATTTGAGCAACTTCTCTGAACTGAAAACCCAGCTGTACTGAAAAAAAATCTGACAACCTAACAGTCTTGCGGATTCCAGTTTAAGAGGACTCCAATTTAACATATAATTAATATATATATATATATATAACAAACAAACCCAACAAAAGCAGACAATGACAACCCTACACACACACAAATATACAGGACAGACTCACTTGATCATGTGGGCAATCTCCCAGTTGGGCTGAGACTTGATGGGTCCCCGCAGGTCAACGCCGTCCTTGGTCACAACAGCCACTTGGTACTGAAAACAAAACAGAGAAAAGTGTTGGAATGAAATTCCCAGGGCAAGAAATCAAGATATGACAAACAAAAAATAGATTACATGTTTTGTTTTTTTTCAACTATAGATTCTATCTTGATCTCAATAATGGAATAGCGGATCAGGATCAAAATACCGGAAATACTGGATAAAAGCAGAAAAGTGGCATCCCTGCATTATCAGGAGGCTAGCCTGGGAAAGGTGAACAGTATTTCTTTGTGGAACATAGGCTACCCCAGATACAATATGAAAAAGAAAGGAGAAAAAAAAAATTGTAATTGTAAATGTAAAATTGTAATTGTAATTTGTTTGTAAAGTTACGTTTTACGGCCTCTGCCACCTATCAACACAGTCTTTTTCGTCTGTTAAGTTAATGCCCCCTCTCCTTGCCACAGCAGGCATCCATGTTCCCTCGTCTCTGCTTTTACGACATCTTCCACACAAATTAGACAATACAGGAAGTGGGTGGGCTGCTTCAAACCTCACCTGTCAGGGCCAATGAAGGCAAAGAGGAATACAACATCACAGCACTTAATAACTTGCTCTGCCCTCCTCCCCTAATCTGAATGTTGCGTCGCCCAGGCATCCCAAGAGGGGGGGA